GTTCCTAAATCTATTGCCTATGGATTCACAGCTTCAGGTTACGGATATGTCGAGGATATGCCTTATGCTTACGTTCATGAATTCACAAGAACTTCAATGGCGGGAAAAATTAGACGATTCAAAGGTGGATACACGAGTGTTTGGGACAAGATAAGCAAACGGATTCCAGCACAAGTTCACTGTAATACGCAGGTATTAGCAGTCAAACGCAACGCTAACAACATTACTATCAGAACTCAGATCGTTGATGGTGAAAGAAAAGATATGGAGTTTGATAAACTAATTATATCGGGTTCATTTCCTTTAAATAGTGGAAAGACCTACAGATCGCCTTTAAAGAAGACAGGTTTGTTAGTAAATGAAAAATTTTCGGTAAAAACCATTTGTTCCCACCATTAAATGTGCACCAATTCTAACTATTTGTTGTTTGTTGCAGAAGAGACTGTAAATGAGGTTATGGATCTAAGTAATCTTGAGAAGGACTTATTTAGTAAAGTGGAGACTATCGATTACTATACTACTGTGTTGAAGATAGACGGATTGGAGCATATCCCAGTTGGGTTTTATTACTTCGAGGAGTTCATGGATGATCCAAAAACGATAGGAAATCCTGTTGCGATGCAAAGATTCTACTCAGATACGAATATTTTCTTGTTTTGGTCATATGGTAATTCAGTAAATATCATGGGCGAAAAGGTCATTCGACTTGCAGTAGATGCAGTCACAAGAATTGGAGGCAAGGTTGAGAAAGTAACTTTACAGCGACGATTCAAGTACTTCCCTCATGTTAGAAGTCGAGGTATACTAAAATAACTCGAACCAGATATCTTGGTTTCCATTCATGCTTCCTAGAAAATTTCTAAACTGAAAAATGCCAAATCTAATGCAGAAATGAAGGATGGGTTTTATGATAAGTTGGAACACCAACTTCAAGGTCAGAACAATACTTTCTATGTTGGAGGGCTAATGGCATTTGAGCTAACAGAAAGGAATTCATCCTATGCTCTTTCTCTAGTTATGAAGCACTTCGCAAGTGACAATCCAGAACCCAGTTTTCCATACGTTAAGGTACAAAAAGATTTCAAGATATTAGGCATTAAACAAACTCCTACAAACAAATGATAACTATGAAATCAAAGATTGATCATTATTGTTTTGCAGAGATTAATCACTATGAAATCAGACAATCATTCATGGATTCCTAAACAACTAGATGAAGCACTAGGTGTGGAATTTCCAGATATCTCATCTATCGATGGTTATTTGAGGCATTGGGCAACTCATGAATGCATTGCAAATAAGACGCTTTATACTTGGACCAATGATAAAGGAGAAGCAATAAATCAAAGGACGTATAAAGAATTAGATGCTAATGCTTCCTACATTGCTCATAGTCTCTTGACAAACAATAAGCCAAATATCAAATCTGGAGATAGAGTTTTGTTGGTTTATGTACCTGGCCTTGAATTTGTTGATGCATTCTTCGGGTGTCTGAGAGCTAGAATTATACCAGTTCCAGCCATTCCTCCTGATCCATCACAAAAAGGAGAGCAGTCACTTATCCATATCGAGAACATTGCAAAGAGAACAAAAGCAGTGGCGATATTATCCACGTTTGGTTATCATGTGTATGTTAAAGCGAATTCTGCAAAGAACAAGATTATGCGAGTCGGGAAAAGGAAAAACTCAGCTTGTTGGCCTGACCTTCCATGGTTACATACAGATTCTTGGATCAAGAACTCCAAAGTTGGAAATATCAGCTATGATGATGTAAAGATATTGGTTAACCGATCGCAGGTTTTGCCAAAAGATTTATGTTTTCTCCAATTCACATCTGGCTCAACGGGCGATGCTAAAGGAGTCATGATTACTCATGGAGGACTTATTCATAATGTGAAACTAATGCATAAGGTATACAAGAGTACATCAAAGACGGTTCTTGTAAGCTGGCTACCTCAGTACCACGATATGGGACTCATAGGAGGGTTCCTTACATCGTTGGTTAGTGGTGGAACGGCTATACTCTTTTCTCCAATAACATTCATCAAGAATCCATTATTGTGGTTGCAAACCATGAGTCAATTCCAGGCTACCCATAGTGCTGGCCCAAACTTTGCTTTTGAACTCTTGATCCGAAGATTGGTATCCAAGAAGGAGAAGATTCTGAAACTGGATCTTTCTTCCATGGTTTTCCTCATGGTCGCGGCTGAACCAGTGAGATCAAAGACTCTAAAAAGGTTTATTGAGTTGACTCGAACTTTTGGGCTTTCTCAAGAGGTGATGGCTCCTGGTTATGGCATGGCTGAGAACTCTGTTTACATAAGCAGCGCATATGGACACGGAGAACCAATTTTTGAAGACTGGCAGGGAAGAATATGTTGTGGGTATGTGAGCCCAAATGATCCCGATGTAGATATTAGGATAGTTGATCCTGAGACAGGTGAAGAACATATCGAATGTGGAAAAGAAGGGGAGGTTTGGATTAGTAGTCCGAGTGCGGGTGTTGGATATTGGGCAATGGAAGAGCTTAGCCAAAAGACTTTTCAGAATGAACTTCAAGGCCATGCCGGGAAGATGTATCTTCGGAGTGGAGACTTGGGACGAATTATTGACAGGAAGTTATTCATCACAGGGAGGATAAAAGATCTCATCATTATTGGTGGAAGGAACATATACTCATCAGATATCGAAAAGACGGTTGAATCCTCATCTGATTTTATACGACCAGGTTGCTGTGCTGTCATAGGTGTTCCTGAACAAATCTTATTGGCTAAAGGGATAATGATTCCAGAAAACTCAGACCAACTGGGATTGGTTGTAATTGCAGAGGTTCGAGGGAACAAGTCTCTCGTAGAGGAGGTCGTAGAGCACATTCAAACCCTCGTGGCAGAAGAGCATGGCATAACAATTGCTTCCATTGTGCTAATTAAAGAAAGAAGCATTTGTAAGACAACATCAGGTAAGATTAAGAGGTTTGAATGTCTCAAACAGTTCACTGATGGCAAGCTGCAGGTAATTCAACTACAGCATGGGAAGAAACCATCTTTGATTCAATCTACAACTTCAAAAGCAAAAGATTCTATTTCTATTATTTCAAAGAAAGAAATTATTCAGTTTTTGAAGAAATTGATATCAGATCAAACAGGAATTCCCACTGCAAGCATCTCCATCACAGAAAGCCTATCAAACTACGGGACTGACTCAATTGGTGTGGTTCGAGCAGCTCAAAAGCTTTCTGCTTTTCTTGGTATTCCAGTGGGAGCAATTGACATTTTCACAGCAACCTGCATTGATGATCTGGCAGATTTTGCTGAAGATCTTGTGAGAAAGTCTTGCCCTCAATCACCAAGTTTTCCATCTGATTTCCCTGATAACAAGACAAGTTCTATGAAACTCTCAGTCCAAGTTTCTTCATCTCGTAGGTTGGGTGTTTGGTTATTCCATCTCATTGCTCTTATATACATCTCCTTCTTGCTGATGATTCCTATGTCTCTTTCGATTTCTACTTTCACTACTCTAATCTCTGAGATCAGTAGACTGATGGATATTACCCCATGGTTTGGTTATTTAATATCCTTAACCTGTGCTCCTCTTGCTTGGATGTTTTGCATTGGTTCCTCTTGTATGACAATTGCTCTATTTGGGAACTCATTTCTTCAACCTAACTATGGACTAAACCCTGATGTATCCATTTGGTCGATTGAATTCGTGAAATGGTGGGCACTCTACAAAGCCCAAGAAGTTTCCACTAGAGTTTATGCGGTGCATTTAAAAGGTACTTTATTTGCTAAGCTCTGGTTTGAGATGCTTGGAGCAAAGATTGGATCATCAGTGCTACTTGATACCATTGATATCACAGACCCATATCTAGTCACAATTGGAGATGGAACAGTGATTGCAGAAGGAGCACTAATTCAAAGCCATGAGGTCAAAAATGGTGTTTTGAGTTTCCAGCCAATCAGAATCGGAGAAAACTCATGTGTTGGTCCTTACACAGTAATTCAGAAAGGAAGTATCTTGGCGGATGGAGTTGAGCTTCCGGCCTTGCAAACTTGCAAAGGTGGTCAACATGAATTTAAGATGTCAAAGACTCCTAAAGACCAACAGGTACGTAATACAATTTCCCTTGATTTGTCTTTTCCTTTCATGTTTCTTCTTTTGGGATCTTATAAAAACAATAGTTGTAGAAACTAATAGTAGCTTCTATTTCTGAAACTTGAGTGCAGGGTCCTGTTTTACAAGATATCAAGAGTGGATGCCATAAAAAGCATGAGCCTTTTTACCATATTATAGGCATCTATATGGTTGGTTTTCTCAGTTGTCTATCTGCAGCCATTGGTTACACAATCTACCTTTGGCTATTACAGAAGCCCCAATCCTTGCAACACTTCAGCTTTCTTTGCTTATGTGCATCTGTTCATTGGCTCCCTTTCAATGTTATTGCATATATAATCATGTTTAGAGATGTTCCCACAAGCCCATTAAGTTTTTCCATCAACATTGCAATAGCATACTTAGCTCATGGCATGATTCTCACTTTCCTAACTTCTATCTTGCTTCGAATCCTTTCGAAGGTAAAACACAGAAACCTCCTAGTGATGTGGTTTTGCCATCGACTAACTACTTCCTGCCATTTGAAATTTGCGAAGTTCCTTTCTGGTACAGAAGCTTTCTGTGTCTACCTTCGTCTTTTAGGAGCAAGGATTGGCCATCATTGCTCTATAAGAGCTATCAACCCTATTTCAGATCCGGAATTGGTCTCTATTGGTGATGGTGTCCATCTAGGTGATTTCAGCCGAATTGTCCCAGGTTTTTACAACTCAAAAGGGTATGTCTACGGACATGTGACTGTACAAGAAAATTCAGTTGTTGGGAGTCAAGGCCTTGTCTTACCCGGATCTGTAATCGAAGCCAATGTCATTCTTGGTGCCCTCTCAGTTGCTCCCATAAATTCAGTCCTTCGAACAGGCGGAGTTTTTGTTGGATCTCAAACTCCCATCATGGTTAAAAATATTACTCATACTTTGGATGACAGGATAGAAGAAATGGACATAAAGTACAAAAAAGTACTTGGAAATCTTGCGGCTAACTTCTCTGCCGCGACCCTCAAAGTAAAAGCAAGATACTTTCATCGAATTGGTGCAACTGGGAAGGGAACTCTAAGGCTCTACAAAAATGTTCCAGGAATTCCGGAGCATAAAATTTTCTCCTCCGGGAAGTCCTATCCTATCATTGTCCGCCATAGTAATTGCTTAAGTTCAGACGATGATGCAAGGATCGATCCTCGTGGAGCAGCAATAAGAATACTTTCAGATGAGCACGATACAAGTACTGCACTTCTTGATTTGACATTGAAGACGGGCAAATCATTTCATGCTCGTACAATTGGTGACTTTGCAACATGGCTGATTTGTGGGGCTGAAGCACGGGAGGAGCAGGTGAAAAATGCTCCTCATGTAAAGGATGCTATGTGGGACTCCCTAAGAAAAGCTAATTCATACGCCGAGCTACATTATTATTCAAACATTTGCAGGTTGTTTAGATTCGAAGATGGAAAAGAGATGTATGTGAAGTTCAAGTTAAGGCCATTCGACAAAGAGATCAATGAGGATTCTGGTAAGGTGGAACCTACAAGTATACTCCCTCCTGAAACAGGTGCAATCCCAAGAGATGAGAATGACACACGACCACTTCTTTTCCTCAATGATGATTTCCAACGTCGTGTGAATTCTCCTGAAAAAATCCAATATGTACTTCAACTGCAATTTCGTCCAGTACCAAATGATGAAACTGTACGTGAGGCCGCCCTTGATTGTACCAGGCCATGGGATGAAAAAGAATACCCTTACGTTGAGGTAGGAGAGATAACCATTGAACAAGTACTCACCAACGATGAATCTCGAAAGTTAGAGTTCAATCCGTTTCTAAGATGCCATGAGGTGGATGTTATTCGGGCCACATCATGTTCCCAGAGTGCATCGATGGATCATGGTAGGTCTGTTGTCTACTCTATATGCCAGCATTTACGCAATAACAAGCCGCTTCCTGAGGCTTGGAGGAGCTTCCTAGATCACTCTGATGTAAAGGTTGATCTTAACGGTTGCCCAATGGCAGTATTAATGGAGAAAGAAGATGTTCAAAAAGTGACACTGGCAAGACCATGGTACCAGAACTTATGGATGATGTTTGCTCAACCCTTTTTGCAAATAGTTGTGCCTTATTTTCTAATGGGGTTGACTATATTTACTCCTCTTAATGTGACTATTTACTTGAAAGAGCAAAATAGTCTCCAATTGCATTGGTTGCTACCTTTTTTCTGGTTCAGTTCTGGAATTCTAGCAGGATTGGTTTGTGTTCTAGCCAAATGGGTACTTGTGGGCAAGAAGAAAGAAGGTGAAACTGTAATGATATGGAGTATAGGCATCTACATGGACACTATATGGCAGGCTATTAGGACATTGGTTGGGGAATACTTTATGGAAACAAGCAGTGGTTCAGTGGTATTCGGGTTATGGATGAACTTAATGGGTTCAGATATTGTTTGGGATCAAGGAGCTTATGTGGATAGCATGGGTGCTGTGCTAAACCCGGAGATGGTAAGCATTGAAAGGTACGGGTCTGTAGGACGAGAAGCTCTTTTGTTTGGACACATATATGAAGGCGAAGGTGGAAAAGTGAAGTTTGGAAAAATTAGGATCAAAGAAGCAGGTTTTATAGGAAGTCGAGCTGTGGCTATGCCTAGAGTCACTGTGGAGAAAGAAGGAAGTCTTGCAGCTCTTTCTCTTGCTATGAAGGGGGAGATTATCAAGTAAAAATGCACCCAAATTTCTCTGAGAACTGAGTTCTTAAACCTACGTGGTTTATAGAATGAAGCAAGTGATTCTATTGATGTATGCTTGTGATTTTTGTTAATCTTTGTGATGTATATTGTATATGGTGGTTTAAGGCCATTTAGTTGTTGTTGGCATCTGTCTTCCTTTCTGGTGCTGAATATAGCTTTTGATTATAATGTAATTCAAGAAAATTAAGTCATGAAATCCAACTGACTATGCTTTTCTGACCAACAAAACAAAAACATTGAAAAGTTAAATAAGTTCAAATCTCAAATATTGGGTTCAAAGACTATATATCACTGGAAAACCCTATGGCATATATTTAGAGGAAGCAGCTAAATCAAACCACATAGAACATATCATTTCACCATTATCATCATCGTATTGGCTTGTCAAAAACCAGTATCAAACCAAACCAAACATAACGAACTCGATATATGAGTATATCTCATATATCTGGAACACTAAACCCTAAACATAACTGGAAAGTTGGTATTTTAATACAAACCTACCAAGAATGTATCGAGCATAACATTATATCATGGCTGATCGTTGTGAGTTGTAAACCGACAAATAACTGACATACTGGTTTCTTCTACACCACCTCCTGCAATTAATAGTAAAGATGCGTAAAAGGGATTTCAGATAATCATAAAACGAATACAAATTATTCGTTTAATTTTCATATGAACACATTTCAACATTCTTTCTAATATCATAAAAAAAATTAGATCAATGACATATTCGTTTGATCGTGTTTTATAATTCCCAAATTTCCATTTAAGAATCAACTCGAAGTACCTAAAATTTGAACATGATAACTACGTTATAATTCATTAAAAAACTTAAGCCAAGTAAAATTTAATTAACATGAGAACGCACATTGTCGAATCCATTACCACTGATGTTCTTGTTTCTATAAAGAACTCTGTCTAAAATAACAGAATGCTTGAATTGTCGAGGGAGGTGGGGACAAACTCCTTAAAGAACGATTTCTTTCCACTAGGTTGTCTCTACTCTGGTACCACTCGTTAAAATTCTTTTACCGGTCAAAATTAGGTCATGATTTCCACCCCTTTTCACAAAAAGGGAAATCGCATACAATAACAATTTGTTTAAAGAAATAATAATAATAATAATAATAATAATAATAATAATAATAATAATAATAATAATAATAATAAAAATAAAAATAATAATAATAATAAAGTTTGTTGGGTTTTTTGAACTTTTTCCATAATATTATCTAATTTATCATCTCAATACACTTTTATGTTATATTCTCGAATTTGGAGAAAAAAGAAAATAAAGGAAATGGAAGGGAAAGAAAAGAAGGGAGAGAAAAGAAAGAAAAGAAAGTAAATTTTTTATTTGTGTTTTCGAAAAGGAAAAACAAGAAGGAATGGAAAGGAAATAAAATAATTTTTCATGTTCTTGAAAAGGAGCAAAAAGAAAGGAAATATATTGTTTTTACCAATATATTATCTATACTATATTATAAAGCATTTGGCTAAAACTCTTAAAAACTCTTAAACTCTTAAACCCGTTCATCCCTAAACAATTTCATCCCTATCC